ACATCTTTCCTAAAACTTCACTTGTTCGTAAGCGCCTGGTTGAAGATATGACTTTCGCTATTGACATTGTCTGTAATTAACAAATACACTAAATAGGAAGATTTATAATACAACTTCATAGGCTAGGCACCTCCCTAAGCGGACCCCCGCGTCCTATCGCTTATGTTAATTAACTTTCTGAATTCTCTAATTGAAGTTTATTTAATAAATAACTGAAATCTCTAATCTACCTACACAATCATAACCCATTTTTTTCCTTTGGTTTGTTTTTTTCCGTCGATCTTGTTTTCCGTGCTGAGCACCAATGCTACCGACGTGCCAGGAAGGCAGCTCCCACACCTGGACCCTACCTATCGACCCATCAACTCATGAACCGGGGACCAACGGCTTTATTTCCCATCCGAAGGAAGACGTGATCAGAGATGTTATGCCTCAGAACATCCCGGCGGCGCCGACTGGGATTGAACCCAGGCCTGCTTGGGTGAGAGGTAATCACGCTTACCACTACACCACCGGCGCCGTTAATCATAACCCATGCTTTTAAACTAAAATTTAACGTGTTTCGAGTACTTCTGGCTTTGACATATATTAATTATATCTTTGTTCGTCCCAGGTGACACCTTCAAGTGACTAAAATGCTTCACTTTGAAGTTAGTTTCCAAGCTAATTTTAAATTGTATATTGTATAGGGTAAATGTTCCAATTACGCTCTCACGTTTCCACTATGTGGCACCACAAAAATACATATGGGTATGTCACAATAGAAGCACACCGCAGTGGAAATCTCGAGTCACACTTATCCCAAATCAAAATAAAGCACATATAAGATTAGTTACAATACCATGTACAAAAATGATGTTTAACATTGTTTCCTGAGTAATACTTCAATGAAAACAACAATGAAAGCTTGTCACGCAAATAGAAGGAGCACCGTTGAGCACTTTCTGAAACATTTCAATAGTATAATTCCCTTGCAAACCCAAAGAAATCTATCTGCGTAAAAATAAAAAAAATAAGAGTGATTTGCGGCAAACATCAACTCATGAACCGGGCTGCTGCAAAGGCTGCTTTACTTCCCAGAGATGTCATGCCACAGAACATCCCGGCGGCGCCGACTGGGATTGAACCCAGGACTGCTGGGGTGAGAGGTAATCACGCTTACCACTACACCATCGGCGCTGCTAAATTTGAGCACATTGAGAATTGTTACAAAATCTTGACCCATCATGTACATTTTGAAGCTTTTTTATAAAGAAAACTAGATATGTTAGGATCTCATAAATTTGCTTTCAAAAAATCAGTTTCGAACAAGATTTTCATCTTGCACATTTTTACAAACTCACTTTTCGCAACCTTTCAAATGCTTAAGAATGCTTTAGTTTATTTTTAGATAGTCAAAGGTGACTTATTTCATGTTGAAATAAAGGTGCTAAATAAAGTCAATCCCAAAATCCCTCCCCTTGGCTAGTTTTTGCACCTTGCTGTTGGTGGGCGGGCTTAATTTCATGCTAGTGGAGTGTTGGAGATGGTAGGTTTATGGTCGGCGTTGCTGGCTCATGCCGCGATAGAATGGCGTCATGGGCAGGCAATGGGGATTACTAAGCTTCCCCTCTCTGATAAACCACTGCATGAGAGAACCAAAGATCTAGTCTAGCAGTGATAGTATCACACTTGTTACTCCTTTTATTAAGAGCCGCGTCGTAGTACGCTTACGTATAGGCACTGACGTTGGGTGTGATACTGGCGGGTTTTGCCGCAAATCACTCTTATTTTATTTATTTTTACGCAGATAGATTCATTTGGGTTTGCAAGGGAATTATACTATTGAAATATTTCAGAAAGTGCCCAACAGTGCTCCTTCTATTTGCGTGACAAGCTTTCATTGTTGTTTTCATTGAAGTATTACTCAGGAAACAATGTTAAACATCATTTTTGTACATGGTATTGTAACTAATCTTATATGTGCTTCATTTTGATTTGGGATAAGTGTTTGAACTATGGCTCGGGATTTCCACTGTGGTGTGCTTCTATTGTGGCATACCCATATGTATTTTTGTGGTGCCACATAGTGGAAACGTGAGAGCGTAGTTGGAACATTTACCCTATACAATATACAATTTAAAATTAGCTTGGAAACTAACTTCAAAGTGAAGCATTTTAGTCACTTGAAGGTGTCATCTGGGACGAACAAAGATATAATTAATATATGTAAAAGCCAGAAGTACTTGAAACACGTTAAATTGTAGTTTAAAAGCATAGGTTATGATTGTGTAGGTAGATTAGAGATTTCAGTTATTTATTAAATAAACTTCAATTATAGAATTCAGAAAGTTAATTAACATAAGAGATAGGACGCGGGGGGTCCGCTTAGGGAGGCGACTAGCCTATGAAGTTGTATAATAAATCTTCCTATTTAGTGTATTTGTTAATTACAGACAATGTCAATAGCGAAAGTCATATCTTCAACCAGGCGCTTACGAACAAGTGAAGTTTTAGGAAAGATGTGTTAAATATGTTGATATGTTTGAAATAAGAATTAGGATTGTTGTGCTTTAGTTTTCGGTAAGGTATGATGTGTCAACAAAGCCCTTTTGAGCAAATTTTCAAACATCAAATTGATTGAGTGATTTATTGAAAGACATTGCGTTGCGAAAATTGACAAGTCATACATCTAACATAGTAGTAGTAGCAGTGTCGCATAATCTTATCACAATTGCTGCAAATAGTGCTGGAGGGGCCGGCAGGGCTGAATACGGATCAAAACTAACATAACTACGAACACTAAAATGATCCCGGAATTAACACTTATCCATTGCACTTTTAGTTATATATTAGTTTTATTTTTCTACTAAGCCATCTATGCTTCTTTCTATTGCTTGGATCAAGTACAACTAATACTAATCTACCTTTATGTATGTTTTACTCCCTTTTAACCCATTATCTTTATGAATGGCGAATCATATGACGTGAGACACGTACAAGCTGGAACTCAAAGAATTACTTCGAACAGGATGTCAAACAAATTTAGGACCAATCCAAATGAGACCAGAAACCAACAAGGCATCGGGGAGTTATATATTCTGGGAGAGGTATTTGATAAATAATCAAAAAGTGGTAAGTTAAAATCAGAGCCAAGGATCATGAGAGGTAATTGTCAATAATTCATTAATTAGTAGAAATCTCGATAACTTTTTCAAGGGAGCGTATCGGCTTTTGTAGGCGGTGCGTTTGGTCGTCGATTTGGCTTAACTGGTGGCTCGCCCACGCGGGCTGGCACTATCATCAGATAGGGGAAATTTTCCTCTACCTGCTGGTGGTGTTGATAAGCGTGTGCGAGCTGCCGATTGCGCCGGATCGACGATCGGATGCATTGTTTGCAGGAGCTGGTGCTTCCCTTTGAAAAAGTAATCGAGAAATAACCATATTATCCTGTAATTGATATTACTATTTTTACATATCAATGAAATTAGTCATGACAGAGTAACAGATGGGGAAGGACAATAGACACAAGTTGACACAATAAACAAGACAAGTGGGGGTTAATACACAAGACAAAATGACAAAATAAGTGACGACAGAAGACAAGACTGGGACAAAATCAACCTTAAAAAAAAAAGAATGCGCAATTATATTATCAAAACTATTTGGATCAGCACAAAAACAACAGTGACCAAACGGGCACCATAGCCTAGGAACGTCTGTGTGTTGATTTAAAATAGAGGCTCATAGAAGCAAAATTTATCAAAAAAAAGGGGTCCAGTGTAGAGTTTAAGCAAGTGCTGCCACTGGATCACTACAAAAAAAAAAAAAAAAAATAAAGTCAATCCCAAAATCTTTGCAACAATATTCCTGAGTGTACACAATCACTCGGGGACTTGAACTTATAATTAATCATCAAATTAGAAATAGAGTTCAACCAATAACACTAATAGTTTGAGAATTCCCTGAATGATGGCCAATTTCCCAGGTATTTTTTATAGATCTTACCAAGCATTTTGAAATTCCCTGATAATTCCAGGTTTTCCGGTAGTTGCTGCCCGTACACATTTATGGAAATTTTTATGGGTCGTAGAAAATCGCCAAACCCCCTAAAGCGTACAGGTTTATACCCCGGACAGACTATAGCTTATATCATGTAATATAAGCTGTCTTGCAATGAGCACTCATACATAGGATTTCCAGTGAAAACTAGATGTATGGGTGCTCATTGCAAGACAGCCTATATTACATGATATAAGCCATAGTCTGTACGGGGAATTATATCATGTAATATAGGCAATGGTCTTGCAATGAGCACTCATACATAGGATTTGCAGTGAAAACTAGATATATGAGTGCTCATTGCAAGACAGCCTATATTACATGATATAAGCCATAGTATGTACGGGGTATTATGAACAGTTCCATCTAGTTTTCACTGGAAATCCTATGTGCTCATTGCAAGACAGCCTATATTATACCATTGACAGGTACAATTTGAGGTACTAGCTTAAAGAAGTACAACAATGTACTTTGTATGTCTGTACAAGGTATTAATCGAAGACCTTAAAAGGTACAATTTGAGGTACTAGCTTAACGAAATACAACGATAGTACAACAGTGTACTTTGTATGTCTGTACAAGGTATTAGCAAGGCTATGGACTCAATCAACGGGTCATAGTAGGCTGTCTGTTGAAAAAGAACAATTTGAATCATTCTAGTAATACACCTTTTAACCTAAAGACGTAAATTACTTTTACTCTTAAACCTGAAATCTAATAGTAACATGTTATTGCTCTGTAGTCTGAACAAGGCATTATGGGTGTTATAATCACCTATATCCTTGTTTTCGTACGAACCTTTTTTGCATGGAAATTACGGTTTGAATGAAAACAAGAATATGGATGATTATAAAAAAAGCGTCATCAGGATAGCCTAGTATTATGTTATAACTCTGTAGTCCGAACAAGGCAAAGTGGAAAATTGATGCATTTGCTTTCCACTAATCTACTGTGCTTACCTTATTCAATACCTCAGTTTGCAGCAATTCCAGGAATAATAATAAAGCACTGTTTTGCTGATTAGAGCTTATACAATTTAACGCTCTTAAGTATTCCGAAACAACAATGGTTTCCTGAAATGATGAATAATTTTCAACGATGCATTTATTTGATATGGAGATCGCAAATTTACCTCAGCTTCACCAGTAACTTTTGGTTCTTCATCACCACTGCCACAACTATCTTCAGGATCCTCGTTTAGTGCACGAATCGGAAACATTTTGCCTAAAAAAACTCCTAAACCTAATTAGTGAGCGTTCAGCGTTCCTGTCGGTCCCAACACGGTAACCAGCGGAAACACATTAATGAGTAAAAAAAATACACATTTTTTTATATTTATATGCAGCCCACACGAAATAGGTTCTGCAGCGTGACGTCACGAATGAACTCAGTGTTAATCGGCTGAACCTTTTTGACAGTTCAGTGGTACTGTTTACAAGCACTTAGTCGTTTTTTCGAAAAAAAAAATTCTAAAATTTCCGAATTTTAACTTGAAAATTGTCGACGAACAGCGCGGTGAAAAGATGTTGCTCGTGGACAATGCAGAAGTGTGGTTTACATCTCACTGCAGTCTGAAAAATTATCGAGAAAATCTACCCAAGAAAAAAACGACTAAGTCCACGTAAACAGTACCACTGAACTGTCATCAGATTGAGGTTAACCCCGACGGTGCAAAACCTAATTGCCGGCGAAAAAGTGACGTCATTTGACATTGAGCGACTTCCCACACGAATTGCCGGCGAAAAAGTGACGTCATTTGACATTGAGCGACTTGAAAACTGATCGTTCGCCCTTTGTCCGGGATGCGCCCCGCTAGAGTAATTTCATCCGCCGGGCGACCAAATGGCGGTCCAGGATCCGGACGAAAGGCGACTCGCCCCGCTAGAGCAATTTCATCCGCCGGGCTACCAAATGGCGGATGGAACTTAGCATTTTTTTATGATTTTTTTCGCGTCGGCTGATTGTGTGGTCAGCCATGTTTACATTTCGGTCGTGTCAGGTGGTTATTTGTTTTAATCCGGGCCGCGAAATTGGCCTCCGATGGCCATCTTCCTGAGTGGTTGGTCTCCCGGCGGGACGAATCAACAGGTGTATTTATTCTCAGGGTAAGTAAACTGTTTTTTAATGAAAAACAAAACAATTTTGATAATTTTTGCATATGGGTCATTCCGCGCCAAGTGGTCACAAAAAATTGCAAAAGTGAAATTGACCTCTTCCGATTTGGACCAAATTTGGAGGGAATGTTCATTTAAGTTCGAATTCTGAAATTCCAAAGTTGTATGCTGATCGTAGCACCCCTCGATCAAGGGGCACATTTTTCATTTTTCATTATTTTTTAGAAACCACTACTTTCTTTTGTTCATATCTCCGGAACAAATAAAGCTACAAATTGCATTAGGTATTGTTTTAATAAGGAAATTAGACAAATAATGTAAATCTGTAACTTTTGTTTCTGTACAGTGTTGCCAAATATTTTTTTATTTTTGTTTGAAAACTTTAAATGCATTTTTCTCATAATACATGTCGTTCAATTTTCATTTTAGGGACACCATCGTGTTCTTCATCCTTTTTTACATAAGAAACACTTAACGACAAAAAGTAATTTGCGTAGTTCCTGAGATATTGCATTTTGAATGAACGAAAGTCATAAATTATGAGGGTTATTTTTATAACGTTTTCTCGTAATAAGATTCATTCTCATGACTTACTTTGTTAAATAATACTTGATGGAAACAAAATAGGTATGATAAAACCAATAATAGTTTTTATGCAGTGTTGACAAATTTAAATATTATTTAGTGGCTGAAAACTTTACACTAGTTATAATCTAAACGAATTGCATTATAAATTAAGACATTCCAATAAAATGTTGTATCGAACACTGATCGATTTGTTTCTTACATTTTATTATAACAATGTAAAACATAAATTACAATTTACTTATTTTTTTTTCTCAAGGCTAGCACTTCGTGATGATTTCTTCCCATTATTATTCGAATCCACTTGCTTTGCACGTTTCGTTGCCACAACTCTAAAAGCTGAACCAGTTGTGGCACCTGAAACAGTTTTCATAATAATGGTATCAATACCAGAAGGAGCTGCTGCATTTATTTAACAAATACTGGGAATAGATGCAGCTGATGCAAATCGGTGGAACAGTATTTGTTTTTCTTCGGAACAGATCTCAGATGACACAAATCTAACGTTTGTATTGCAATTCTTCATTGCCCAGTCATAGAGCTCCTTTGGCGTGTGAATAGTGGCTCCTTGTAAACTAGCTCGCGTTGCCAATCTCTTCAAAGTTCATCCCAATCCGTCGCTTGGTCCTTTGCCATGTGCCGTAACAAAGTAGTGCCACTGAGTGGGCACCCCAAATTTGCTTTCGTGAAAAACCAGGGTACCGCACCATCGGAGAAGTACGAGATTTTGGACAACTGTGATACCTAGGATTTGAGATACTATTTGAAATGGCGCTGGAAAGCATGAAATGTTGTTGTGCTGTGGTCTAGAGTATCGGACATTATGACGCAGTTCAATGGTACAACTTTATTCTGGTGTACAGTGTAGGCATCAAAAGTGTGAACGGTTGCCAGCACATTATTACAATGAATTCCCTGTACACTTTAAAAAACAAAAGAATAGTTTTCAGAGAAATCTGCCACTACAACGACTTCACCTTCACGTAAGCTATGACAAGTGAATTTGAAAAACTCGGATTGTTTCGCTACAATATAGACGTGCTTTCGTACGGCTGGGATTGAAATGAATAATTCAAGATGAATTTTACCTGTAGATGGCTGGTCATTATCCATGTTTTTTTTAACCGCCAGATGACATTGCACGCATACTTTCCGACCTTCGATAATTTTTGGCAAAGTTCTTATTGTACTCGTCATGAAACCGTGCAGAAATTGGTTTCAAACTCTTGCGACGAATAACTGTATGCAGATTCAATGGGTTGCAGCACTGTCGTTGCATTGTCGCATACAGGTCTCCATATTGCTTAGCATGGCCATCACAAACACTTTTCAGTTCCGTAACACCAGGACGAAGATTGTAATTGTGTTCCACTGTTCGGGACCTAACACCACTGCGACCAGTAATTTGATCTATTGTAGTATTTCCCATGTCCTTAGTTTAGTGCATGTCGCATTACTCCGTCACTATTGAGAAATTATGAAGTATTTGATATTTTTTTTACAGTTGTCATTCTTGCATTTATCTCAAGGATCCGACTCTAATTGAAAGGTCCCGCTATTTATACCCTTCGGAGTGTTGAAACACCCTCCAAAGGCACGCCCCTTTGTCAGTCAAAATTGGATTCCTTAGCAACAAAATTAAGGAATGACACCGATATTGACCATGCATCAGAACCCTAGTCTTAAGCACTTCAAATTATGAAACAACGAATATAAGATTAGGAATCACATAGATGAAGACTAATTAACCCCCTTTTTCCTTGTTTTTCAAGATAATCCTCGGTGGACAAAGTCGAGTCTTATCACTATCAACAAGGCATAAAAAGTAACAAGAACTAAGATGTGTTCCTTTGATTACTGAAAAATCCTGTTCCCCTAGTTTGAAGTAGTCAGGACTAGGAATCGGTGGTAGATCTTACATCCCTTATCGTACCACGAAAAGGTGATCCACCCACGTTACGGGGGGTAATTGTGTTTCTTGTGTGTTTTAGGGTGTCGAAAGGTGTTTATGGGTGTTTCTGCATGTCGACCTAGCTGTCAAAACGTTTATTGAAAATTAATGCTTACTGGCTAGCATTACATCCACTTTTGTTTATAATCAGAATTCTTTTTTTTTTGCTCTCCAAAAATTTACCAATTTAATCATGCACAGTGAAAGCACGGAATTTCAGAAATAATGCACACGTCTATGCAAGCAACTTACAGGAATTCAAATTCGCATCCCTGATCGTCATCCGCAACACCTATCTAAAAGAATGTGCTGTGTATGTATGTCTGGAGTTCCACTCCGATCTCAAAAAGTACTCCCTCAGCCGTCGCATTCTTATGTCATGATGCTTGACATCAAACCAGTAAAGTCTTCTCGAATCCATCCCAACCGAATTCCAGTCGCAATCAAGCCCAGATAACCAAACCGAGCTAAGCAATCTCTGAATCTAAATTTCGCAAAAAAAACGAACCTATTTGCAAGCGGCAGCTAGTAGGATGGATCTCTCTGATTTGGTATTGTGTATATGAAATCCACGATGAAAGGGCATTAAACACATTAGAAAGAAATATCTGTCTTCAGCTATCGATCAATAATTGATATGATAATTATTATCCGCTTCATTAATATACAGTTACAGATATTCTAGCTCGTTAGAGGTTGAAATTGTCTGTTTTTCAATGTTGAGCTTGATATTGAATCTTCTTTTCTAAGTGCGGGGGTGAGGGCTACTTCGGTGTCCCGATCAGTTTTTTTTTGTGGAATCCTACCGATTTCTGGAGGTCCCTCCTAAAGAAAAAAAATCAACAAAAACGAAAAAGGGCATCAAATGAATGGCAGTGCTGCCAGAAAAGATTGAAAAATTGGTTCTCATGGTGGTTGAAGGGTGTTTGAGTGTGTTGAAGAGTGTCGAAGAGTGTTTTTGATGTGTTTAACACAAGTTTAACAAAGTGGCTTACCCCCTGAATAGAAAACACCATTTTCCACTCGGTATCTGCAAACATCTAATGTACTAGACAGATGCGCCAGAGATGCTTAAAACATTAACGCCTAATATATGAAAAAAAAATCAAAAATGTCATATTTTATACGTTAATAGATGACATCTTCAAAGGCATCTATTTGATCTCGAAATTCTGGATCGTATGCAAAACATGAGCAAATTACAGTTTTGTCCTATATTTCACATTTTTGTCTTGTTTTATGGCTGACCATAAATAGTTATTTTGGCGTTCTTGTACCAAAAAATATAGATTTAGGTCCGTTGTGTACTTACCTTCTGAAAACTTTTAAAATAATAGGTTTGGATATTAATTCCATTGCTTTAGAAAATGCATCAGAAAAATAAAAAAACACTTTTCTTTAATTTGTTTTCCGAAAATGTTACATTGCGTTGAACTTTGTTTTAGATAGTCTATCTCATGTAAAAATGCTGTGGGACACGATGGGGCATCAAACCAAATATTTAGATGCATCAACTTAAAAAGATCACGTTTAAAGTTTTTAGTTGCTAAATAATATTTAAATTTGGCACCACTGTTCTTGGTAATGTAATCGATTTTTTTTCTTTAAATATTATTTCACACAATAAGTCATGAGA